AACATCATTACATAAAAGGGTACGGTCTTTTTTTTTTTTTTTTAGTTTTATTCATTTCAAACGGGCCGGATCCGGCCCGCGGGCCGTAGTTTGCCCACGGCTGACTTAGTCATTTCGGGTGCACACACCAGAGCACCCAGTGAAACAAAGATTCCTGCCCCCTCAGAGCTTGGTTCTAGTGGGCGGGGCACAGGAGACAAAGGTGTTGTAGGCTAGTGATAAGAAGGAAGAGGACACAGGAAAGCAGCTTGGGGGTGTGCTGGGAGGTGCTGGCCTAGATGGAGTGCAGGGACGCCCCTCCCCTGACATCTGAGCAGAGAGCTGTGCAGGGGGCAGGCCACTCAGGTTCACAGGAGGAAGAGCATTCCAGGCAGGGAAGGGCCAGTCCAGGGGGCCTTGGCGTATCTGATGAACAAGGAGGTCATTATGGCTGGAATGTGGTGAACGGGAGAGAGTAGGAGAGGCCGGGAGGGAGCGCTTTAACCGATCGATCGATGATCAAGATCGATCATCCTGTGGCTGTGTGGAGAGCAGTTAGTAGACCCGTGCGACCCAGGGAGCCTGGACAGGATGGGGGGCTGGGGCTGCTGAGAAGTGGCTGCTTTCAGCCTGTATGTTGAAGGCAGAGCTGAAGGTGCGCTGATGGATGAGACGTATGGGACAGGGACCACTCCGAGGTGAGCAGCTGGATGCCCGGTGTCCCTCCCTGGAACGGGGCAGATGCAAGGAGGAGTGGCTCTCCCTTCCCTTCCACTCTTTCTAAAAATCAATGGAAAAATGTCCTCGGATGAGGATTAACAAACAAACAAACAAAAAGGTCAGTTTCAGGACAGTGATAGCTTCAGGTGGTAGGGGGGATGAATGGGATCTGAGGGATTCACAATGGGCTTCAACTGTATCAGTAAAGTTGTATTTCCTTAAAAGCATCTGAAGCAAATATGGTAAAATGTTCAGATTCTCACGTTTAAAAAAAAATTCTCAAGTTGGTTGGTGGACACATGTTCATTGTATAACTCTCTGAAGTTGTTGGTTCTCTGGTTGCAAACTTGTCTGTTTGTTTCATTTATTCACTTGGCCCCTGGCCCCCACTTCTGTAGGTAATGGAGCCTGGGATGAGCCCTCGCTTCTGAGCCTCCCTTGCGGCTGCCACAGCTCAGGGGAAGCTCCTTAGACACCCCAGGGAGGAGGGTGGGGCAGACAGCACCTCTGACCTGCTCTCGGTGACCTCAGCCCAGCCTTCCTTCCCCACCTCGTTCCTGAACTTAGGTCTGTGATCGCGGCCAAGCTCTCCTACCTCAATTGTGAGTAGGAGATTGCAAACAGGGATTGCAAACCCTACTTAAAATGGAGCTATATTTTAAAGTATTTGTTCTGTTTCATGGCTTTGGGTTTTTTCTTCAGGGACACTAACTTTACATTTGTACGATTTCCTTTGCTCATCTTCTCTCTCCCTCCCTAATGATTTTTATTATTTTTTATCTCCCTCACATTTATTTCTGTTCTTTATATATTCCAGAGTCCCTTACAGTGGTGTCTCCTCTCTTGTGTTTCGTTATTTGTTGTTGTTTCTGAAGTGTTTCTGTATTTTTTTTTATACTTATTTGCTAAACCTCCCCGTTCCTGTTCCGCGTCCTGTTCCCTGTCCGCTTCTGTTGCCTGACCATTGCTTCCTTGAGTTCTTTGGTTCTGCTTTGTCAGCTTCCTGCGCAGCCGCCACTGCCTCCGTATATTTTTTTAAGTGTACAATAGGATGTTGTGTTAAAATGTCCTGCTGCTTTGTGGCCACATTTCTCTGGTGAGTTTTTGTCGTCTGCAGGGGAGTGTTGCTGCTCCTTTTCAGACTTTTGTCTGACGGGGCCTTTGCCTGGATGGTTTTCCTCCAGTGCTTTTGGTTGGGTGTTGAGTTACAACTCTTATTTCTGAACTAGAGGCCTGGTGCACAAAAATTTGTGCACGGGGGTGGGGGGAGTCCCTCAGCCTGGCCTATGCCCTCTTGCAGTCTGGGACCCCTCGGAGG